TATATAATTATAAGTGTCGGCTAAATTCTCAAAGACACTCATCTCAGATAACACTATCCTTTGTTTAGGCTTAATAGAGATCCGCGCGCGAGATAGAAGAACAAAAGAGAACAAAAAGAGTTTTTTATATGAAAAATTTCTCCAAATAAGCTGTTTATAAATCTCGCGAGTAAGTGCGGCGAACAGACACTTTTGATCGATTTTAAATATACACAAAATAAATAGAAAAATTGATATACAAAAATTTTCTTTAAGGTTTATTCATTAAGTAATTAATAATTTAAATTTAAGTTAAATGAATAGCGAAATGGAAACAAAAAACAACAATTATAATATAATTTCTTACTATCTATATCTAATATAAACTTCAATTTTTTGTAATTTAATAAATAAAATTTAAACTGACATTTTATTTTTATTTATTTGGTTTCTAGAATTGACTCTTTAAAGTTTCTCAAATATAATTATATTAATATCTTGTATTGTTAAATTTACCATAGATAAGTTTATTTATACAAAAATAATTCTATAAAATAGATAAATTAATGCAAAAGTTGGAAAAAAGAAATTATCTTGTTTGTTTAAAAAATTATTTTAATGTTATGTTTAAAAAATTATTTTGTTAGATTTTATTTCATTAATAATTTTAATAAGAAAATAAAAAATAAAAACAATAAAAAAATTAAATAAAATAATAAAATTAATTTTATTTACATAAAAATATTATAGTATTATCATTGTTGTTTTAATGATATATATAATATAAATAATCAAATAATGTTAATTCTTTCATCATATATCATATATAATTGTATATAGTCAAACAATATATATTTTTAGTTTTGTATTAAATTTTTCAAGAATTGGAAATTTAGAAATTTAAAAAATTAAAATTGATATCTTCTTCGTTTTATAATATATTTTAAACAATCAAAATATTAAAAATTATTTTTAATAAAAATTATTTTTTATTAAAAATTTTTTTTATTAAAAATTTACAATATACTTTATATTTTATTTTTGTT